CTTTTTCCCCTCAAGTGCTGTCGCTTACCCGCTTCAGCAACAGGTGGGGAACGGTCGGCGGCGCGCCAACCCTAAGCTCACCGCCACTTTCCATCATCCGCAGCGAACAGGATTACATTGTTCAAGTAACGACCGGTGTCGATCACTTTCTGTTTCATGTTTTGGCGCTTCGTTTCCGTCAATGTCCAATTGCCGATTCTCCTGTTACCCCTGTCACCAGGTTTTACTTGGACTTTTCCATGACGCGCATTCTCCGAAACCACGACTTGCATACCACCACTTCTTTTGTTCATCCATGTCACAAGCTATGAACGAAGGCTTCGGCTGCTGAACGAGCGAGGCTTTCACTAGCTGCGACTGCCGTGCTATCTGTTACATTTATCTTGGATCCTTGTTCATAAGGAACTTGTCTAAAGGGCATATTTGAAGCAGCTCCCTGCCCTTTTGCAATCATCTTCTCTAAGTTGTAGATGTTTTTGTTCTCGATGTATTGCTTTTCAGAGAAAGCAAATGATGTCCACGCAGTCGATCGCTTGATTTCTTGGACTGTTACCAACAAGCTGGAAATCCCATCGCACCTTACCCAACGAATTGTAAAGCTTAAGTCTTCCACTCGTTCTTGAAACTTGTATAGAGATAGCAGGCTTTTTAGTGAACCGTGCCTTAGAACATATAGGTAGTATGTCTTAGATCATAAAACTGCCTCATTCCACATTTCAAGCCATTTTTGTCGTTATATACGCTGTAGTTGGTACCTCAGGGACCAGTAGTATAGGTTCGTTATTTGTTGTCTTTTGTTCGTAGTTTATATAGTTTAGAAAGTTGACGTGCAAGGTTGTTTTCATAAATTCCTATATTAGAGTCGTTAACTTGTTTGTTCGAGCTATTGTTTACGAGTCATTGTTCCCGTCCTTCAGATGTTACCGCGATCGAGTGACTCCTTGTCGAGATGTCGTTAAGAGAAAATGCTCCTCCAGATATGTTGAATAAATGAGGTACAGAAAGCTGTCCAACCTTTGAGTCCGCTGTGATTTTTACAATAGTATCTTTACCTTTCGTTGCATTATGCTTCAAATGCTGCTACGAACTCCATTTCTTCAGGATAATGTTCGCTTTAAGAAGGGCGGCTGTTTTGCGGTAAGTTCCTAACATTTCGAAAAGTCGCCCGGGCTTTATAGTAGACGTGGTCCAGAAACTACGTCATTGGTGCCCTCTTCTTCCCACCTTCTTCACCGCCGTGGAAGGCAAGGGTATGAGGAGGGTTCCACCAAGGACGTCGTTCTATGGCTTCGCCCATCTGCAATCCTGAGGAGTCCTTATGTTTATTTTGTGCTATGAGGTTAGCAATGACGGAATTTCCTCGTTGAAAATCTTGGGATGTGAAGGAAGGGGAGTTGATAAGCCTGTTATGAACAAATGAAGTTAATGGACTGGCAAGGTCCCCCTCCGCCCCATTCCTCCCCCCCCACCTTCCCCCCCTCCCGCGAACGAAGCCGTTTTTTCTCTAACCTGGTACAGTTTGAACACGTGATCACTCGTTAACAGGCATTTCGCTAGGCAGCTTATGCGGGCGTTGAGGTTTGGTTTCGGGAAATGAGGAGTCACTCTTGACTAAACTAGCAGAGGCTTTGAAAGCTCGACCTTCGTCATGCCGTCGAAGCTAGCGTTCAGTCCAAGAAAAGATTCTCATTGTAACAACAACTAACTGAGCAGCTACTTTCGCTCTGGCTGTGGTGGACTGGGCCTCTGATAAAGGCGATCTTGTCGAAACGTCAGGCCATAATGAAGGTTCCACCTACCAACCTCATGTGCACAGAAGAACTTATCAAACGTGACAACAATGCCGAGGTTTTACGAAGACAGAAGTTGGACACTACTCATCTCGATAGAGCTGGATACTGATATCTAAAAAATCCACTATCAGTCCTAATCAAAGCATTGTCCTGGCTTTCGTGCCTGTCGGGATGCTAGTCAAACTCTCGACCTCAGTGAGCAGGCTTTTTCCTAGAAGATCTGCTCGAAAGTAGTGAGGTCTATATTCGAGTTCTTCGAATAGGGGTAATTCACTGGTCTATTGCCATCGCAAGGAGCACAAATGGTTGTACTTCGTTTGGTGTTCAGTAGGACATCTAGTGTGCCTTGAATAAAAGCCCTACCCTATCAAATCAATGGAACGAACATGGAAGTGGGTTTCCCACTGTTTGTGGGAGCAGGGAGCAGGGCACAGCATTCGATGGGGATTTTGGTCGAGCTTTTACGACCCCCCCCCTTTTTTTCAGGGGTTGGTACGACCCCCCCCCCCCCATAAGGGAGATCCCCAACCAAATGCTGTGCACTTGTCTGTGAGGTTTAGCTAAAGGGAATTTCCAATTGCTCGCAGCTAAACCTTATTTAGTTTGAAAGTCGATTTTTATTCTTGCCTATTGTGGCGTGTCAGCGAAAACGACCGTGAATACATTCTGCTTTAACAGGGTTACGAATCATGTACGATAAGTCTGGTGCAGTGGCCGCTTCAGCAGCGCGGATCTGGCACGACAGACCGCGTTTCCATGTCGTCCAGGGGATAACAGTCGTGCGTCAGAAAGCGTGAGCGAACTATGTCTTGTAAAGTATATGAAATGTTTTGACGGCAAAATGGATTATCCACCGTAGCCGCATTCGTTATGCAAACTAGTAACAACATGTGGTTTGTTCCACTCCGTCTGATTGAATTGCTTCTACTCCACCTGTAAAGCATGGGTATGCTGCACGCAAACTTAAGCTGTTTTAGGTTGGGTAACGCAGTGATTGACCTCCATGTTTGTCAAACAGCGATCCAGAACGCTTCTGCCTATGCTTACCTTCGTTCAGAGTGTTCAAACAACTCACAAACACGTTCGACGTGTAGATTGCGACCGGCGATTTAAGGAGCCATCTTGTTGTCAGGCTGCTACGTTCTATTGCCCTAGAAAGCGATTGAGCAAGTTTGTCTCGGCAGCTGCTTATTCTTAGGCCCTGTTCCGCGTACATCTTCCCTTATGTAAACGAATCGCTACAGCTTCGATCCCTTCTCAAAAACGCGTTGTGGTATAGAAATATTAGGCCATTGCAGCCGCCTGCCAGTTCTACCTGCAGAGAACAAACTGCCGGACTACGAGAATACGAGCATCGAGATGCACTGGAAAGTAATAGAGCGGAGTCATTACAAGAAATAGTTGAACAGTACGTTATAAAGGATTGAACTGCTCATATTTTGGTTGATACTGTGTTATAGTTTCATGTTTTCTATTTGATGCAATGATCCCTTTTAGTATTGAATGGCGAGGAACGGTCTACAGTGAAACTCCCGGAAAGGTATGAAAGGCTATTTTAGTGGCTAGTTATAGACGCCTATTCATATCTGTTCAGGTTGCTAGGCTGCTGGCTGATCCTAAAGAAGATCTGACGTTGTTGTCGGATCGCCAGCTATCTGTTCTTTTGTCCACTTTCGGCAATGCGTGTGAATCTGTAAGCATCTTGCACAGAACAGCTTCGATGAGCCAAGCGCTTCGAGCCATCCGAGAGAGGGGTTCGCATTTTTTATATATGTGTTCATATTGATACTTTTATTGCGTGTTTTCATGGATACTTTATTCGTGGTTTTTCTTGTCTTCAAGAAGCTGCTATCATCCTTTCCATAACAGGGAAGTTGTTCGCGTATACATTGCAGAGCGAAATGCATCGCTTTCCGCTCGCATGTGATAATGGCGAACAGGTTAGTGTAGTGGAGAGAAGCTACAAAAGGACCTTTGCAGAGTGCAGGCCTTATCACCGGATGCTGCGACGTTCGGTTACCTTTCGAAGGTATACGCGAATTCTGCTAATACCCAAGCAATCGTGTGAGTTTCCTTTGAGATTTCGCTTGTTGGAGAAGCGATGCTGTGCATAGGTGTGCTATATGAAGAAGGGTATGCTTTTTAGAGATATAATCAACCATATGAAGACAAATGCACTGGTTGTGACTGAAGCTGTTTTGGAATCACTTATCTATTCATTAGCCAAAGGTGGTCACTACAAGCAAGCTGAAACCTTTGTTCAGGTAATTTGGTGTGGTAATAATTTCTTCCTTGATTTATGTCACGTAAAGGGCAAGTCCTATGCTCTGGAACCCCCAGCGAGGAGGAGAGCGTAAAACAGAATTCATCCTGCCCCATCCATTGCTTCGCTCAATGGCAACTGTTTAACAAGAAAGTGGGAAATTTTTTGATAAATTCTTGGATAACTTGTAAGGGGAGGTAGGAGGGGAAAGGGTCGTAGCAGAGCAGAATTCGGGGAATTCGGGGGGCGAAATAAACGTCTTTTGCTTGGATTTTTCCTAGCGACAGGACATGTCTTCGTAGTAAGGTTGTGTTCAATTTCAGAAGTTTGTTGCATCTGCAAACGAGGTTGTTCTTCGCACTGCGATAGCTCGTGCAGCAGTCTCTCGTGGCGATTATTCTGTAGTATTTAGCACTATTGCGTCCATTCCAAGCGGAGCGAAACCGAATCAAGTGCGTAAGCTTTTAGCGATTTTCTGCCATTAATTTCACACGTATGGATTATTTTTGGAAAAACGCTTTCATTTCTTCAGATATCCAATAACAAGTATATTTTGGAGGTTTTGTTCGATATGCTTGAAGCGGGTGAAATGGACGCTGTAGAAAAGGTGTGTCTTGGTTTAAGCGAAAGCAATCGCGAAAGCAAACCTATCACAAGGATGCTGAGTATGGGCAAAAGTCATACCCTGACTAGAACCCCCACCTGCCGCTGATGGGCTAGTGCGCTTTCCATTACATTACATCTTCGTGTAAATTTATGAGTGGTTGCGAAGGTTATGGCATAAAAATTGGTAATATTTGTGTTACAATATATGTATATATAAATAATATATTATATTAACATGTTGCTAGGTGTGTAGTGTGTATGTAATATATATGTGATGTGTGTGTATGTGTACATGTATATATATATATAATCATATTATATATAGTACTATATATATATACTATATACCTCATATATATATATATTATATAATATAATAATGAATATATAAACTAATTTATATATATATATACTAACTATATATTATATATCTATAGATAAACAAAGACTTACCATGGTATGACCGACGTTGCAGCAGTAGCCAACTAAATGAAAAATGAACCTCAAAACAACATCAAAGAAGCTGATAATTATCCCAACTATCCGAAGTCATTATCAAGTTAAAGCCCAATCGAGTTATTTCATTCTATTCACGATGTTTCTACAAAGAGTAGCCATCCTCATGAAGGGAGCTACAAGATAGGAGATGGATAGCAAGGCACACTTAATGTAAGTCCAAACTTTTGTAAAATTCAATTAGGTAAATAATTATAATGATAAGATACGTTAATAAATATTAATAATTTTATATAAAAACTCCCTTCCTTTTCTTTTAAAACATGATCCACTAATGTTCCTTTCCTTCATGCTTTAAAAAGCATGAAACATATAACTTGAATCACTCATAAAATAACATAATAATACCACTGGTTATAAACAAATAGATCTAGTTACGGTCTTGCAAAGTCATCAATTGTCGTGTATCATCATCATAATAATTATTACCATATAAACTCATTGTTCCTTCTTTCCCTTACTGACGAGCACAGAAGAAGGATATACAACTCGTTTGGTCCGTCTAAGAGGCCGTGACGCAGGAAATCGACCATATCTCCTTATGTTGACCCCGTGTAATAATGATTAATAACCAAACTTATAGTTAACCAAATGTTTTATAGAATAAATCTAAATGCTACCATAACTTACTGTAATATATAAAAAAACTTTTCATGGCATAAAAAAACTTTTCAACTGACAGGCAGTAGAGGTCTCAGCGGCATATTGTTTTCTGCACTTACCCTTCAGCGGGAGATGTTCGGGTTTCCAAATGGGCTTTGACTTTTGCCCTTTGGTCGAATATTCTTGTGATAAGGTTCGGAGCGCGAACAGGGGCGTCGGATACAATTACCATACTAAAAAGAATATTGAAGTAGTTGTTGCGTTCAGATATCTCCCTATTTGGCAATGGCACCCGAGGAAAACACGCTGGTGGAGTGGCATGTAAATCCCAGAGTACTGGCGCGATCTAAGCGTGCTTGTGCCGAGGGTAAACTCGATGTGGCCCTCAAGCTTTACGGACTTATTCATCCTAAATTCAAAAACAGGTATGTTTGCTAGACTCCTGGGCACTTTTGCATTTATACACTAGTGATGTGCTGCAGTAACTTCGAAATGTTGCTTGCTGATGCCTTGGGGAATCGGCTCAATGATGGCAGTCACAAAACTGAGGAAATTTTTGGACTGGCGGAGGCAATGCAGAATTCCGGCTTGCTCAAGTGAGGGACTCTAGCTCTATCAGTGTTTCCAGTTTACTTGACTTTTTTCCAGAGATCATGTTCTGTTTCTTCTCGAAAAGTCGGCCAACACCACCCGTGCGTATGAAGTGCTTTCCATTGTACAGAGCAGGGGACTACTGGAAAAGTGCCTGCAAGAGAGGCCAGCATTGAGGAAAACTCTTGCGCGGAAACTGAGTGAAAAGGTTAACTAGTCACTTGCATGTTCCATTTTCCTTTTATTATAAACAAACCCACAATATAGTGTACGCATTCCCTGCCAGTGAGCCTCGCCTGATGTATCCTGCTTTTTAAAAATCATCCAGGTCTCTCCACTGCTGTCCACCAAGTGCAGATTAAGGGGAGGGGATGGGGCATGAAGTGAACCGCTACATAACATTCTTCGACAAACTCGAACTTCAGTGCTTTGAGGAAGAATGTGTGGTCAAGACTACTAGGCGGTCGATAGGAAAGCTGAACAATTTTTTTGGACCCCCGATGCTACCCTACTTTCTGAGTTCGCCTTTACTGTGCTTAGGATTAGCGGTGTCAGGGCACGTCCTGAAGTGGAGAAAACTGTGCAAAATACGACCCCCCCCCTCCTCAAAAGTTCCTTTTTTACTACAATCCCCCTTCCACCCATCCTAT